CAGACTTATCCCATTGAACAGAAGAACCGTCTTACCGATGTCTGCCCCTTGCCAGCCCGAATCGTTTCCTGAGTTCTGCAGGTGCAATTCAGCATGTGAACCTGTAATGTTTAATTGAAGAGAGTAATGGAGTGCTGGAGAGTCTGATCTGTCAACAAGACCGAATGGTTTAATAACAAGAGCAGTGACAAGCGCACTAAACTCGCTCGTGAGTTTGCTGTCGTACACCTCAGTTATCAATGCTGAGCCCCCATTTTTTGTTCGCACTACGCGTCCAACATCAGATTGCTGAAACGAGTCAGAACAACCAATCTGATCTGAGAAAAAGGCATCTCCGCAAAAGGCTAAAAATTCCACTTTTCTTTCAGATACAAAATGAACAAGAAGAGGCCTGTGAAGGAAAATCATGTCTGCTTTGATCTGTGAAGCTAGATCAATACTGTAAGTACTGAATTTCAGCTCACTTGATACGTTCTGCACGCAAATTATGTTGACCAACTTATCATGCTGAAAATAAGGCAGCTTAAGAGAGCACTCGGTAAAGGATGCAGGTGGCTCAATGCGACTGACTCGCGGAATACCTGACCAGCCACTGTACACAGCACCAAGACTTGTAACCAATGCAAATGCATCTCCCAGGGCATTGGTAAAAATTGACGATACAGAATCACCTCGGAGCTGTGTATCCAGCATCTTATTAAACGAGTTTCCTCCGTCTAGAGATAACCACACCTAAAGGACCCCAAACTAAGTTCATAAATCGTTTTTTATGAAATCAGTTTCTGATCACACTACAGCGGTACAATGAAACGAGTCGCAAGAGAGCTTTCTAAGCTTCTCATTTACCTTGGCCCATAAATGGGTCATTAAATCAGTTAAATATGAATGACCCTATCTTACATTTTTTTAAAATTCTTATTCTTATTTGCATAACAATTATACAAAAAATTGCAATATTATATTATATTACATGAGCTTAATGATGGCCTTGATAAGTTTAAATTTAAGGGAAAAGGTAGGAAATAAGCTTTTTGTTGGTATGATAGCAAGATCATTCCAACTTAGACCTTTCTTCTATAACCCCTGTACATATAGGCCCATCATTAAAGCTATAACATAACCCTGTTACTGAAAGATGAACATAAAAATGACAAAGGTTATTAGATTAATTTTTTTCTCCATCTGCTGCAGCAGCGACCTATCATCTTATACTTCCAATTTAAAACAAAGGCTCAGGCTGCCTAGCCTGCAGTGCTGGTGTCTTATTAGGGCGAGTTAACGTTGCAAGCTCGCGATCGTTTATTCGACCTGTCATGTTTGATTTGGGTTTGGAGTGGACGGTGGGGGAAGGGGCGGGGAAAGGTACACATGTCTTTCTCTCCTCAGCCTTCCGCTGCCGTAGAAGCCAATGATGGCAGCTATAACATTTACCAAGAAAATACTGAGTACTCTCTCGCAAAAAATTACGAATTTTTATAGGCTAGTAGATGCCTCTTTACTTCCCACGGCCGATTTATGTTTTTTTAAACTTTGATGTCTTACCTGGGATCCATAGACGAAAATAACATGAGTGTGAACATGCATATTAATCCTTTTAAATTTGACATGATTTGGGAATCGAAAAATGGGCTGCATAAGTCGGAATGTCTTCAGATGAAGTACTGCGACCAAACATTGTACCTGTGAACACAGTAAAACGATATACACATTGGAAAAATCAATCGAACCCTGTCGATCACAAAGTTCGTAATAACAGGGATTGTTGAGGCTGTGAAATAAGAACATATCATATGACCGTTAGCTAATTTAAACAGCTGCAATAGTTTACAGGGCTCAGACAAATTAGCAAGTATTATTCCTCTTTGCACATTTCCGACATCTTGACCTGTGATTTACAGTCAAAAGCTGGTTTTTTAAATGACGTTTCAGACTTTGTGACTTTTTTTAATTAAATCGAAATGTTCAATGGGCTTGTGCTTTTTACCAGGTGTTACTTCGTGTTCAAAATAACGTTTTTGAATATATCATTCCTTACACTACTTATTATTTTTCAAAAAAAAAAAACCAAAACAAAAAAAACCAGCAACAACAATAAATTGTTGTTGAAAAACATTCAAATACATTTACAGATATTGCAAGCTATAATTTAGAATTTCAGAATATCCCTCCTGCAGACCCTCAAAGCCTCTACCTTAAAAGGGTCCTTCACAAGCAAAACCACTGTAGTTCTTTGAATGTCCCAAGCGACACCAAGCACAGTGAAAGACTTCATTTGGTCAGGAAGCTTTATAGGAGACCATATATCAAAGGGAGGTTTGCTTGTTAGAAGAATAGAATATTCCCCGCTAGCCGGCGTATAAACCAAATGTACCGCGTGCTCTGTGATCAATATCTCGTGTCTATCACAGTGAACTGTATGATGCAACTTGATTCTGTCACGTTCCACTGTCCCATCTTTGAACGCTTGCTCGATTATCGGATGTATATTGGGTACTCTTTGAAACTTGAGCTTTAGAGTTAAGGAAAGTATCATAAACTTTACAGTTGACTCAATTATTGGTAATAGTTGATTATTACAAAAGATTAAAGTTGAGACCATCCCTCTCAAAATCTTGAAAAGAAATAGTAGTCTAAACATAACGTATAGCGTAACATCAAGCGGCAGAAAAGAGCCCCTGATCTACCCTTCATTACATAGATACTTTTTATTCCGTTAGACCTACTTAAGGATCAGAAAAAAAAGCGAAATCAAATGTTAAGTACGTCGTTCGCTGGAAACGCGTTTCCAAATCATTAATTTTTCTTACCTTGTAGTATCATGAAAGTTATTCCCACCCCTTAGCAACTTTTATTTTTAAATCACTTTAACAAAAAATTTGAAAGTGTTGAATAAAAATTGATATAAAAAGCACTAATCATTCTATGACTTAAGCTACCCACTAATACTGTCAATACGAGCCTTTGATAAGGCAACCGTACCTTTCTTATGTTAAGTCCTGAGGCTTCATCGATCGATTCCGACCTTAACACACCTTTTGAGGTTACAAGCAAAATGTGGTTGTTAAACACAGCCAAGTCCAAAATTGACAGTTTTTCACAACTGGTAAACGAACTTTCTTTGCAGATAGAGTAGTTATCTGGTTTGCCAGATGAGCGGTGAAGGAGATCATACCAATGTGTGGTGTTTGATGTGAAACTTCCATGGGTTACAGCCATGTAGCATCCTGTAGAGACAGTGAAAGATCTCTGTAATTTATAGATCTAGTCAAACTTTCATTGGGTAAAGTAGAATTCCATTATTTAATTGCTGATTTTGATTGCTACTTTTCGTTCGATTTAGCTGAATACACTACATATAGACGCACAGTTAAAAGAGTGAAAATATAATTTTCTCGCTATTCAAGACCACGTGGAAGTTTTTCGCTGAACCGTGTTTTCCATGCGAAAGACAAAAGTTGAACTTTCGCCATCTGCTTTTCAGCTGTTCGTGCTTTAAATGTGAATATAATTTCTTTTCGTATGAAGTACATTTATACTCCTCATTACAACACCAAGAAAATTAGTAGTACAGAGGGGAAATTCAAATGTTGGCGGTCAACGTTTAGTTGCAGGAAAATGGGTTTCTAACTTTGCATTATGACATTCACATAAAAATTCTTTCCTCATTTCAGTGTCTTTTTAATCATATTTTAGCTTAGTTTCAGACTTTTTTTGGAGTATTCAAAGCAAAAATAAAGGTCACATTTAATTTTCCCTTCCAATTACCTGTGAAAGACTCTTTCACCTCAAACACAGGAACCAAAACAGCGACTCCCGGAGTACATGGATGCCGCCATACAATGACATCTTCCAAAGCTGGAGTTGCGTTCAGGTCTGACATATAGTCTCCGAATTGGACGGAAAGAATTGGGTCAAAATCTGGTAATACAAGAGTTCCCCAGGATTCAAACAAATTGAGGTCTTGCCCAAGTTCTATTTTGAACTGCCACGGAATTCTCCCGTGGCTTTCTTCATGGTAATGCTCCGATAGTTCTTGCTTCGAAATATTCATCGTCCAGTAAGAGTCTTCGCCTTGGACAAGTTGGTCGAAGAAGTAAGATTTTGACCAGCTTAAAGTGATGATAGTGACAATTGGAGTCATACCTTGAGAGGAATACTGATTGACTAACACATTACGCGAGTTTTGAGTATCGCTGCTGCGATTTCTCAACTGACAGTGAACCACAAGAAATGCAGACTTGAAATAAAGCAGATTATACGGCTCTCTAAATTGAGATGTGAATTCTGCAAATACGACGGCTTCCACAATTCCCCTTTCACCAAATTCGATAAACGCATTGCTGTGCAGTTTCTGGAGCGATATTATCACAAAATGAAGTGTTAAAAGAAAGAAACTCGAATTCACGGACATCTTGCCTTCGAAGTGCCACGCAGTTTACCGCTTCATTCATCACTTCACATTTTCCCGCCAAATCAAGGCTGCAGTTCGGCGACGCAGTGACCCATTTGGCGCCAAAAAGCTTCTTTTCAAACTTTAGCGGTTCTTTAACAGAACCACATTCTAAACCTTCCTCCGTGACTTACAACAGCTTATTAGTCACACAGTTTACATAAACGTTAATTTTTTTTTTATCAGTGGAGAAACACTTACCACCTATCAAAAATCTCGAGGCCCATTGATTGCTGAAAACGGAGACCCTAGTTAAAATTAGTTTTACAACCACCCTGTAATGTTTAAAGGATAAATATCGATTATTATGGAAAGAAGTGGAATGTGACATTCGTACGCCCCTGGTGAAGAAAAGCACAGTTATATAACACTAACTGCAGCTGAAGTTCTGCTGGTGTTTTTATTCAAAATGCTAAAATAGGAATGGGTGGAGAAGGGATTGTCACTTAATTTGACAAATTTGAGACAAAACTGTGAAAAAGTACTAAAAAAATAGTGGTCCTTAAATTTGTTGCATTGATTAGTGATATAACTCTGTAAAGCACTAATATCACATTGTTATAGCATTTTAATATCTTGTAGGCATAGCTTGCCTGTAGCACACAACTATATTACTAAGGAGTTAATTCCTGTTCTTCTCAGATGAGTCACCCCATGTGAATCCAGGTGGTTGCATAAGGGACTGGCTATCTTTTTTTTGGAGGGAGAATTAGGATTTTTTAAAATTAAACAATTTTTTCTGTTGTTATCTATCAAAAGTTTCCCTGGCTGCTTTTTCCTGCTGACCTTTTTTTTTTAGCCTCAAAACAGTTTTTTGCTTTTGAAAACAAATTTTACATGTTATCTCCTCTACAAAAATGGAAAAATCAGTTCCTAAGAATCCATCCAATAGATGAGGAAGATACTGAATGTTTATTCAATTATTTATCAAGATGCCTGCTGAACCTTGGCAACCTTTCGGTGTTCCTTTGCTCTTGTTTTGGGGCATTGCATCTCACACCAACTGATTGGCACCATTGCAGCACCTACACAATCAAATAATTCAATTTGCATAAAAATCTTATGATATTAAGACCAACCTGACATCTGCTTATTACTTATAAACTTGAAAACTCTGTTAACATCCTGAGCCAGTACTTTCTGTATAGAACTTTGTTCATATAGCACAATAATTTTATAGTTTGATATCTGGTACAAAAACAAAGGCACATGGAGAGAGCATCTAAAGGAAATATCTTTGTACATTGTTGTTTCAAAGAAATGTTACTGTTACTTCTAACTTCTTCAAAGGGTAATGCATTACATATAATTGTCTACTCTAATAATGCTGAAAAAAATCCATATCTCAAACTGGCAAAATTACCTACCCACCAAATAGGTTGGGGGAAAGGATTAAGACCAAAAACAATTTTTCAACAATGACGCAAATAAAATTTTGAATGGAACTTGAAACAATCAAAGCAGATCAATTCAGAAAGTGGCTTCCTGCTATTAAATTGACAATTTCCTGAATGAAAAAATTAAGTCTATCCTACCACCCTCACTCTTGGCAAAAATGACTCCAAGTTCATTTTCAGCTGTTGAAAGGAGATACGTTTGTGTATGAAGAGTTAGTACTCTGGCCAGTACTATATCACCAGGGCGGAAAGACTTATACATTTCAACTTTGTCCTTCTCAGTTGCCCGGACATCTTCTTTTCTGATTGTTCCTTTGAAAGGTTCCTTTAAAGAAGTTGTTTCTACACCAAGAATTGCTACTTTGCAAAACCTTGGGTTTGTGCTCATCACCTAAAGGGTAAAAATTTAACAGCTTTATTTGAAAGGTTCTCCTGCTTCCTCGTTATTTCTTAACCCTCTGACCCCTTCAAGTAACTAGCACCTAGTTTCTCCTCATAATATCATTCTGAATCAAACAAGAATAAAGAGGAATAAAAGGAAGAATACAGGAAATGATCAATAGCTAAAGAAGCTCTTGATTGTTCAACAAATTCTCCTCATTAGCACCTTGGTAAATGTCTAGAGAACAGAATGGAGAATATGCATACCAACATTAGGGTATAAAAGGTAAATTAATCAGATACATGCTCCACGAAAAAGAAATTTTCTGTTATGTTATTTCTAACAATTGCTTGTGATAAGGTCATAACCATAACCTTTTGATGAGACAATCAATTGATAAAATTTGAACCTTTTTTTCTTGGTAAACTGTCAAAATGAAGATTACAAAGGATACTTGAGTCAAACTTTAATCTTCTTCCCATCTAATATATTATGTAGTTTTACCATGCAACTCATTAAGGTCACTCACATAAGAAAATAAACTTTTCTAATAAGATTGTAAGTGTCTTTAACATTTTAACCATGCACGCTATCACACAAATTTACATTGTTCAGTTTAAAACCAGTTCGATTAAAAATGATTAAAACTAGTTTTATCTGAATTCCATTTTGCTCTATAAAATAATCACCTCTTAAACAGAGTAAAATATAAATCCATCAAGTTTGAAATACATTTGGTTTTGACTTTATGTTCATTTTTAACTGAAATTGCATCTCTCCTGTCAAACTGTTGTAAAATGATCCAAGTAAAAGACTCTCTGTAAAAAATTTCCATATCTGAGCCAAAAAGTTGATAGTCCTCAATAAAATTTATGATACAGAAATTTTCCCACCTTGCATGTAACAACTGAACCAACTTCTGGCACTACATACTTTTCCTCCTCTCTGATGATATGTATGATAGGTTTCTAGATCCATATTACAAAGCATGTTAGATTGATTTGGGAAACATGAAATCAGTAAGTCTGACAGCACTGTCTGTCAGTCAACTTGTCTATCAAAATAGCAAATCAGCTGATCAGTTATGAGTCAGTTTCTTGATTAGTCAGTCAGTCAATCAAATTTCTAACCTTTTATTTTAAAACCCTAAGAGTAACTATCATTTAATTTCTCTACACTAACACTACTGAATCATTTGTTAAGATCATGAGAATAAAGAAAATGATTGCCAACCTAGGAAGCTTTGATTGTTAACTGAATTCTTCTTGTCAGTAACAAAGGAAATGTACAGAAAAGAGTATGGAAAATATTAATATTGATATTAGGGGGTAGAGGGTTAATCAATAAATCAATTGATCAGACTATTAAAGTGTCAGTCAGTCAGTCAGTCAATCAATGTTCTGTGTCTGGTGCCATGTATGCTTTCTTATCTAGTTGCTTTAAAAATGGAAACCTTATAATACATTCCCTGAGTTGTGATAACTTAAAAACGTTTTATTAGATGTTCCTGCAGAGTACATGAAAAAAAATCTAAATACTGACCCCTTCTGCAAAAGTTGGACCTTATTACTACTCTTTCATAATCATGCATATGTTGTGGTTCAATTTTGTCCTTGGTTCAAATTTTATTTTCCTTTGTCTCAAACTCATTATCGTACATTACAATACCCAAAAACAAAAGAAAATAAAATTTGAACCAAGGATAAAATTAAACCATAACATACATTGGCCTTTCTGGTGTCGACAACTTGTCCAAAGACAATACAATTTTCATTGAAAGAAATGCCGCCATTATGAAAGGGGTCTACACGATATGCTTTTGCTACATTTCTCAAATATCAAAGTCAGTTATCCAAAGCTTACAATGCACCAAAAAATCTCACAAACCTCTCCATCCTCCTGGTTTTGCGACTGTTTGTAACCAGCAAGACTTGCATACACATATCCATGGCGAATATAAGTTCCATTTCCTGGTGAATATTGTTCAATACTTCCTAATCTTTCCCCAGGTATCACCACAATATTTTCATGAACCGACACCATACTCATTTCATGCACTTTCTCAAGTTAGAGAACAACTAAACACGAGTTTCGTCCGCCATTTTGAGTTTCTGATGACACCGCTGCCCGTTTAGATTGTAGTTGCTTTCTAGTCTTCACGACGGTTACCAGGACAACTAAAGAGTATCTGACTTCGTGACTCAAGATGGCGGCGTACGTGGCTACTCATGACCGCTCCGTGTTATCCAAGCCTCACGAAGAAACCAAAGTTTCTGTCATACAAAATACCACTCACAGGGATATCTTGGGTAAGTTTATTTTTTGGAAAAACTGCTGATATAATAGACGAATCGTGCCAGCATTTTAATATTTGTTGCAAAGTAAACGGAACCAGCTGAAATTGTAGATAAGATACGGTAGAGGGAGTTTGCCGAATGTTAACTGTTCTCAGGGTCCTTCGTATAATTATTAAGTTAAAGAAATGTGGATCGTGCATTAGGGGAGTTTTTACTCCTCAAAACTATGATTTGGCGGCTTACCTTTTCGGGGGGCAAAATTTTGTTGACTGGCAAAAAGATAAAGTCCGCACCATAGCCAAATGGCTCATCCACTCGCAGCTTATTTCATTTTCTGTGGAATAAAGTGTCTAGGACTTTTGCATTTTCCCTTGGACGGGATGCTAGCCCAGTACAGGTTACCTCTTCACCCAGCATGTTATTAGGCTTCCCTCACAGTTTGTAGCTACTCATTCATATACCTGGGTGGAGAGAAGTACTGTGAGCATTGATTGTCTGCCCAAGAACACATCACAATGACCTGGCCACGTCTTGGGCTGGCATTTATTGACCTGGAGTTCAGCATGCTAGCTGTTAGGCTAGTGTGTAAGGCCACTGCTGGAGTGGACCTTATAGTTTTTGAGGGCCTGAATGAATGAATGGATAGAACAGGGGATGGAGGCCTAGGAGAATAGAGAAAATAAAGGTCTGGCAGGAGAAAAATGCAAAAATGAAAACATGTTTATCATCAATTTTCTAAAGGAAGGGTGGGGGATGGGTCAAAGGTGTGTGACAGAGAGGAGGGGATTTTGGAAACATGAGATATTCATTCGCCTTAGTTCAGTCTTTCTCCAAATATCTTTTTTTCTGAATTTTTTATTTGAAGACAGTCCTGCAGAGTTTATTTATGCGTTTTGTGTGGTAGCTGTGTATTTGACTAGGTGTTTCATAAGCAGGTACTTTCTGTAGAGACCATTGTACACATCACCACAATTGTAAGAATGCTCCATCAAAATGTTTGACATTGTTTACATAAATTGTTTGTAGAAAATGAGATGTTTTCATGAGATGGAGGTTTCTGGAAACAATTCTTAGAGCCTATTGGATGAGTTTTAATAAAATAAGTTATGTTTAATTGTAGTACTTGGAAATGAACTCTATCAAAAAACCATTGAGGAGTGCGAGAAAGAAAGGCAGCAGAATGTGACAGAAGTAGAGCAAAGAGCATGGCGCTTAGCTTCAGAAGAGAAAGCAAGAGCTCTGAAGTCAGCCAAAGAAGCTGCTGAAGTGGAACTGGACAAAGCTTTGGCAGCAGCTAAGAAAGCTCAGGTGGGTGTTAATTTCAAAGAGGTGCATTTAATTAATGGGTGTGATTGTGTGGAGAAGCTGGGATGGGATGAGGG